TATTGCTACCTAGCTGTCAGAGCCTGGGGCTGAATATGCTCTAGGACCTTACAGCGGCAGGCTTTTATGGAAAATTTTATGATTTGGGCAGTGAAAATGACATTTTTATGGCATATTGCTTTTTATAAATAATGAAGGAGAACTGGCTAATCAGACGCTGGCAGAGACACGCAATGCAGGCACGTAGTAAGTGCGAGTCTTCAGTTACAGCTGCGGTTTATGCCCAGTCTGTCACCGACAGCGGTGTTTATGTCTGTATATTGTGAATCGCATTTCGGCAGGTATAAACTGGCGTAGTGAAACGTGAATCTTCTTGTGTGTGGATGTGCGAGATGTTTATAAAATATTTTTCTCTTTGGAAAGAAATGTTCACATTTACTTTTTGTGATTCAGTTAAAGAAATACTGTATCTACAGATTTAGATATCGAGTATAAAAAGTGTAGCTCCTCCAAAATAATTGCAACAACACTGATGGGCGTTAGCTGAGGATGTGCTCCATGGCCTCAGAGTATAAACTGCAGAGAACATATAATAGCCAGTGGAAAGAACGCACTGTTGAGGTTACTCTTGTGAAGCCAAATTAGACAATGCAAGTCCATGACGGGGCTCCTTGAAACCAGCTTGCAGCATGCTAAACCCAGACTCTGAACCTCGCTCTGTTTCTTTTGGAGTACTTTTAACTGCTGTCATTAAGGGAAAATTGATTTTCCATTGTAAACCCCAATCTTTGTGGTTTAATATCTCAGCTGATTCGAAGTGCATCAAATATAACTTTTTGTTTGCTTTACTTGCAAAAGAAATTGCCAATTTAGTTGTCTAGCAGCAAATAAATAAAGGAAATATAGTCTGAACCGCGGCACCTTAGGAATAACCTGCATTTCGTGACTTCCAGCTATGAACATGGGTAAATATAATTGTTTTAAAAATAGCCACCTGTGTGTAACAAATATTTCTTGGGTTAGAAAAGAAAGGGTGGAATATAGCAACCTTTACTCAAGATTTCTCTGCTATTGTTTTCTAAACTTGAATGTTCTTTTTATGACAGTTGTGGCGCTTAATTCAGTTTAGTATTTTCCAGGAAATCAGTTACTGCTTAAACATGTATCCAAATTCCAACTTCATTCAGAACTTGAAAAGCAAAATTTAACACAAGGAATGGAATTTTGTAATGACCCAGCAATTGGCAAAACCAAACTCTAAGTTCCCAGGAGAACGAAAGAGCCAAACCCAGATATTTCTCCTAATTAGAGGTGAAAACATTATTAAATATCTCAAAAATTGAAAGCATATGTAACTCCTATAAGGTGGTTTTTTACTGGAAAATAACTGATGGCCGTGCCAAATTTCAGTGTGTTCTGAAGTAAGAATTCAG